TATATATGTAAATATTTTTAATTCAATACAAAATAAAATGCGCATTTGCATATAACGCATTAATACTTTTTAGAGGATTTTTAGAAAATACCCATCTAGTATATTTCTGTTTAAAGCACTATTTGAAAATGTCATTTGCAACACACGTGAATCAAAGTAGTCACTGACAGCCACTAATCTAGCGCTCAGCTAGGGGAATACAAAAATATTAAAAAAAAAAAAAATAAGAAAAACAACATTAACTAAGATGTCTTCGCTTCCGAGCACTACATGGAGCGATCAGTTACGGGATGCGCTCAGCTCGCCACTGGGCATTTTGGCTTTGACGTGCATCGTGGGCTACATGGCCTACATGCATGTGCGACGGGACTATCCGACCTACGATGACGAGGACTATGAGAAGGAGGGACACGTCAAAATTCCGGCGCCTCTACAAAATCTTAAAATGACCAAGAAGAAACTGGAGCAGTACGATTCGCAGAATCCCAAGCGCCGATATTTAATTGCACTGCAGGGCATCATATACGATGTATCGGGTGCTCCGCACGACTTTGGGCCCAACGGCAGCTATGAATCGCTGTCCGGCACCGACATCTTGTGGTTTATCCGGAGTACAGCTCGCTTCGAGTCCCGCGACTTCAATACCTATTTGGATGAGTGGAAAACGATGCTGGAAGATCATTTCTATGTCGCTGGCGTCTTGGTATCAGATAATGACCAGACCGATTCGGAGCCGGAGGGAAGTTCACAGTATGACTCAGCCAACGAGAATAATGAGTACGATATCAAAGTTGAAGTGAATAAGGGCTACACCACGAGCGATAAGGTGGACGAGGACAAGGTTAAAGTTCAAGTCAATGAATATCTCGAGACGGACATAAATGGAAAATTCGAGGAAAACTCCAGTGACGGCAATTTCGAGGATGCTGACAATACTCTGATGGACTGCTCGGACGGGGACAAGACCATCTCAACTATGTAGATGGAACAGTTATTGTAGAAAGTTCACCTTGAGTACCCGATTGTATTAAATCATAAAACAGAAAATATATACACATACTATATATACATATATATTTATTTGTACATTTTATCTGCCTTTTACAGGCAGAGTGCTTGCTGTCTGTTGTGATTGGGCTTGTCGTGCTGAAATAGTTCGTGTCCATGCATATATACATTACTAATTTCAATGCGAATTCAATAACTGGAGCATGAGAGACAGCAGCAGCACCGACAGCAGCAGCAGCAGCAGCAGCAGCAGCATCATCCACGTAGAGACGACGCTTTGGCAATGCCTGCAATAATAAAATGGTAATTTCTGTTTTTGCCCACGAACAACGAATCCATATAAATGTTTACCAAACGGCAAACCAGACTTGTCCTTTCCTGCATAATTGTATAGCACGCCGCAAAGCAAAAGCAGAGCCAACAGCAACAGCAACAGCAACAGCATGAGCAACTACCAGCATAATGTTGGCACAGATGCAATCGGCTTTAAAGCCTTTCATGGCACTTTGAAAGTGTTGCAGACTCGAGCGGGGAGTCCATGAAGAGCAACTATGCACACTTTGTTATAATTGGATGTTTAAGCCTGAACACTGTTAAGTAAGCTCGTCATTCAATGCAGCCAACAAATTACATTTTACAATAAGCATTGATTAAGTTAATCTTGCCTTGCATGTGTTTATTTATTTATTTGTTTATTTCGGAATCGTTTGCATGTATCACGGGGCCAAAGGGCGATAAGCCGATAGAATTTATTTCTTATGGTATTTATAGTAATCAAATTCGTTTTACATTCAAGTTATTTTAATGAGATGATACATTTGTAATCCCTCAACATGAAGTCTCTAGGCAAATCAACTAGTTCTACTATTATTTAATATTATTTCGGATAATAATTTAAATAATTTATTCTTTTAAATTATATTGGTTTGGCGATATTATAGAAATACCTATGCATTTTCATTGCGAAACAGCTTTGCATCTCATAAAGAGATACCAAGAATCTCAACAGGACAACACATAAGAGATAAGAGATAAGTTTATTTTATAATTTTTGAGTGTTATCGATGCTCAACTGTGAATGATTGAAGCTAATAAATTCTACAAGCTACAATCTAAAATGAAATTTTTACGTATTTCAAATGAGTATTTTAGATATTATGAAAATATTGTGTAGTTCTTCACAGGCACAAGCCACTTTTCCTTTGAGTTCATGGCCAAATTTTCCCTTCAAAATAGCTGAACATCCGCTTTTCGATATGGCTTAAGAATCTCCCATCTCTGAGCCTTGGAGAACGAACTAGAAACAAAGCCAGTTAATGGACGTGAATTTACGAAATATCTGGGTCATAGCTGAGAATTTTCTGTGCTTACGATAACGTCGAAGGTATTGTTGATGCAACTACGTATTGTCTTCATTTCATGGTACTTTATGTGCACGTCATAAATACGAATCCCATGCACAGCGCTGCCTATTATTCTGTGTGTGTGCGTGTGTGCGTGAGTGCGTGAGTGTGTGGCCAAGTGTCCAAATGACGAATGCGAGAGTGTTTCAAGTGTGCGTATCTTAAAGTTAAGGATACTTTGCGCAAAATTCGCATTTAAGGCAATGCGTGCGACTGGCACGGGTCCACAACGAGGACCACAACGAGGCCCTTAACACGCAGGTCCATTGCGTTTCATTACGACTAACGACAACGGGGCTGTAATACATACAGTATTGCAGCTCAGCTGTCTGTGTGCCTGAGTGTGTGTGTATGTGTGTGTGTGAGATGTACGTGTGTTGCTAGTGTAGTTTAAGTGCTGCAAAACGACATCAAGATAAATGTACGTGATACACACAAACACACACAGTTACATTCACACACACACACACACACACACACGCATGTGTAGCTGACGTGCACTTCTATGTACATAAGTGGATTCTTTTTTTTTTTTTTTTTTTTTGGGCACTGTCTCTGTCTCTGTTTAGAACTTGTTCAGATCTTCCTCTTCCTCTCTCTTTCTGTCTGTCTGTCTCTCTGCCCGCTCTCTGGCATTCTGTATTGCTGTTTGTTAGTAGTTTTGTAGTTGGTTCTTAGATGCCACTAATATATTTCGTTGCTTGTTATCAGTGGAGAGCCCCTGGATGCTGTCATATTCCATTTTCATATTTGCATTTCTTTGACTGCTCAATGGGAAGAGTACTTAAGCTTAGTTTTGCAAATAATATTGAACTATTCAAAAATGGAGTCTCAATTTAAATTGCTAAATGGGTCAAAGGTATTCAAATATTGCATATATTTTAAATCATATTTATAAATAAGCTTTTACTTAAATATAGTGACTTTTTGCATTGATGTAAAATTCAATATTTAATAAAATAATAAACTTTTTTCGGAATGTGTAATTTATTTAAGTAAATCAACTATTTGTTAGTATTTTTTTTTTATTTTGCTATTAATTTATTATGTTCTCATAGAAAACTGTTTCAAAACAAAGTTAAACATGAAATATTCATTTACAAATTTTATCATTTTATTATTATTTTATTTTTTTATTATTTTGAACTTCTCCTCTGCAACTTCTTGTACCTCACAGCTTGCAAGATTGTCAATTGTGAAATTGATCGCAGCCTAACTTTTAGTAAGTACAATTAAAATGCTCGCGTTTAATTAGAAACTGATAGCAAAGTTACATAACTCTAGGCAGGTAAGTCTGCTCCTCAGCTTGCTAGAGACTAGAGTTACCAAATTTGATATATGCATAAGTAAGTGGGTTGCCAGGCGGCACACCTGCTTGTCATTTCGAGTAGCTCTTAGTTAAGCGCAACTCCCACAAAATCATTCTTAATTGTTACAGTCAAAGTTTTGTGCAAGTCATTCATAGGCAATCTGCTAAATGGGCGCGACTATAAGTTATCCTGTATGGGCTGTACGTAGCTGCCGGCTGCCTCTGGGAATGTTTAAACTTCCGTTTCAACATATTTACACTCACACCCACCCACACACATACACACACACACACACACGCGCGCGGTAGCAGACAACTACGAATGCCGCAAGCTGCGCACTTAATGCTTTCTCCTCCACACAATGTAAAATTCACACATGAATAAGTTGCGACCGCATTTGGCATTTAAATGTGGGCACTAACCAAAATTGAAGGCTCTACCTCTGAAAAACGAGATATTTAACTTTCGTGTGGGTGCCTGCCCTTATGCAAACATATGTGTGTGTGTATGTGTGAGTGCATATATGTTATACGGAATATGACATGGGTAGACCTGCATAACAAATTGGATGTTCTGAGGCCTCAGCTAAGAGCTCCAAAGCTGATTAACAATATTTATTAATTTTCCTGCAGCGCAGAAAAATATCAAGAAAACGAAATTAATTTGAGCTGGAAGAGCATGCAAAAGGCTAATAAACCGAAATATGCTTTAGGCTTATGTATTACATATATCACATGTATATAAAAACTTAACAAAGGCTGCTCTCGTTTTTATTGGCCTCGAGATTTGGCTGTTAAAGCCTACCCATGCGTGTTAACCCATTTTGGGCTCGTTTACTTATTCTGATAGTATAATTACTATTTTTTCCGAGCCTCTTTTAATATGCACAGAATATTTTAACGTTCGAAAATGTTGCAAATCAACTGCCATGGATTCACACTGTTCAACAAAATTGAATTTTTTTTGTCGGCAGTATATGAAATTCATTTATATTTTTCTATATTATTTTTTTTTA